GTGACAGTTGTGTTCAATATCTGCAGAAGATGAATGAAAATGTACCACGAGCAATCATCTAGATACAGATTACACGTTCTTTGGGTAGAACAAGATCGTTGGGCATGGTAGGGTATGAAGGTGTGTCGTAAAAATGCTTCGCTAGAATACTGAGATAATCCTGTATCGTAAAGATCAGCCCTGTTATGAGAAAAATAGTTATTTGTGGATTAGCCGAATGTGGCTTAATGCGGTTTCGGGTACGGGCCGAGAAACGAAGTGTGTGTTTCTGAGGGGTAAACTGTTTTCGAATTCTACTATACCGGCGTGTTGTGAAAGGTCTTTAGAGTGAGCCTACATGTTTCGTTATGGAAGTATGATCGCCGAAAGGAATTACAGTTCATTCCGGACCCATGCAAAAGGATAAATGCAGCATGCCAGTGTAGGCTGTTCTCTAATCAAGGCACATAATATATCTAAACTAAATGAATATTTTCGTTGCAAGTCATTTCTTTGCGTAGTTTGACCCAAAGGCCGATGTCACGAACGAAGCGCCAGGGGCACCTACTTTCACGCCGTGCTTGACAAAGAAACCTGAGTCTTGATCCTCATAAATATGCATGAGGTCGAGACAATTTTACTTACTAACACAATTGCGAACTGGACATTGCTGGCTATCAACATACGCGAAGGCCTTCTGTTTCCGCGATGACGACCTATGCACCTGCGGCGAACGAGAGAGTGTAACCCATGTTCTGTTGGATTGTCCGGAGCTGAGAGATCTACGGCGAGAGCTCCGAAGGAAGGTCGGCGAAGCCTTTAACAGCATATCTACCCTGTTGGGGGGATCTGGCGTAGAGGGAAGGAGTAAGATCAACAGTGCTTCACGGGCTAAGACAGTGGAGGCTGTCTTGGACTTTGCCGAAGCATCACAACGGTTTCAAAGCCGAGCAACGTGAAGGCAGCAGGCATAATATGGGTTTGCACGTAGTTGCGGATCATTGGCGACACAGGCAGGCGGCGGGGAATTCTTCATGGCATTGATCGCTTCGTGTACATTGTTCCACGCGACACGGAAGTTGTAGGTTTTGGGAAACCTGGATTGGTCACATTCTTTGATATTCTTAACTATCCTTCGAACACAAGATCTGACGTTCAGGTTCTTGTCGTTTTGTAGGTCGTACCGGTTCCACTCCGAGATCCAACAAGCTAGACAAGGATCGACTCGTTCAACTTGGTCCATTGTAATGACTTCCGATCCCTGATCAAGTAGTGCAAAACATTTTTGGAAAAAATCAAGCGAAAAATTGTCTCGACATATATCCTCGTCGGCGATCTCTGAAAGAGCCTCCGGTTCTGCAAATAGGGCATAATCCAGCCCATCCGTTTCGCAGTCATAGGGCGTTGGTTTAGCGAAAAGTCTCAGGTTGAAAAGATAGTTTGCGACCATATTCAGCAATTGCGGATCGAAGCTAGAGCGTCCAAGTACCAATTCCGCAACTTTCCAACAGCAAGCATGAACGGTTGGTTGCTCAGTTAAAGAGTGACGTCGGACTGATACAAGATGACCTGCATCTCCCAAAATGTGGAGAGGCTGGAATATGTTTCTCCAAGTGTCGGGCGCGTAATTCGAGAGCTCTATCGGTTGGCAACATATCCAGCAATAAATGGGCAAAGAAACCCCGGGTGGGCAGCGGGACGTTCCTGGAGGCGGTGCTGTTCTTGGAGGCGGTGCTGTTCTTGGAGGCGGTGCTGTTCTTGGAGGCGGTGCTGTTCTTGGAGGCGGTGCTGTCCTTGGAGGCGGTGCTGTCCTTGGAGGCGGTGCTGTCCACACGCAATTACGCGAGGAAGGAGAGATGGTTGTTGCACGGAATGCACGAGAATGGGAGGGGAAGGTGGTTTGGTTTTCTACCGACCCAAATCATTGACCGAGATCGAAAGGTCGCGCTAAAGCTACCTAGTCCGATAATCAGTGTGTAATTAATTAGTTCCAGTACTTTTGTAGAGCCATGGCGACGTACCGTAGGAAGATCGGCGGGGCTCTAAGCTCACCTAGGCTCAGAGGGTGAATTCATCAAAGCCGAGATTTGGAAAGATCTCTGACTAGTTTACTACAATTGGCGTCGTGGGGACAACGTCCGCTTTGCATCGCTATCTCAGCCTCCAAGTGGTTGATTTCGTTTGGAGCCGCAACATCTCCGAGCTGAGCTCGGAATTCTGCCCAAAGCTCATCAGACTTTTGCTGATTTGTTTGCAGACTTGGCCGGTGAGCCTCTCAACGTCTCTTCGGCCAGTGGAAAGAAAAGTGACAAGATCAACTATGATCTTTGCGGCACAGAATATGACAGGGGTTTGCGACAATCTTTGTCGAAGCCTCCGGGGGCCACGTTTGAGTACGGAAGCCCGCGTGGTCATACAAGCTGATATCCAACCAGGATTTTTGGCCTAGGCCACCCATCAGTGGGATTTCTGGCAATTGGGGAGGGGGTGTGGTCCTCTTGGTTGGGAGTTGGAGTGGCGGCGGCGCGATTTGAAGACAGTGCACAACAGCCCGTTTGCCGATCACTTTTCGGATGTAAGTCATCCTAATCTCGACCGACCGACCCACACATTTGATCCTTTCCATCCTACCTTTGTTAATCCTATACGACTGAACGCCACCAGCCCCAACTAAGAAACTTGAGTGAAAGTTAGCTAAAGGGATCTGGACAACATCACAAAGTGGAAAAAATGGTACTGTACAGTTTTCCATGTACTACTCATGTTGATCCGTGTTGTCTCTGGGACCGGGCACGGACCGCTCGTGGTGGACGCCTCCATTTTTAGTCCTGAAATTGGGTCCTCTCTCATCTCACGCACCCTGACTGGGCTGGGGATGCGATGATACCGCAAAATTCCAATTGCTGTTCAGCAATCTGTATAACCGAATAACGATTTCCGTGTCAGACTGGTGTGAGGGGGTTTTAAAGAGGCTTCCAAAGAATATGAGCGGTCATTCAGGAGGTCACGAGGAAAAAGGGGTGATTCAGCTCATCCTTGCCAGTTCTTCGGCGCTGTTGGAATGGTCGGGATCTGCCGGAGCATAGTCATTTTTGTATTTGATGTCATAATTTAGGGAATTCAGAAAAGCCTAGCAGGATTGAGAAATACCGACAATACGACGATATGTACCAGACGTAGAATATCGTCATACGATAAACTGTCAGATTGACAATATGTCTAAGAGGTTCCTACGAGTGAAAGTTTATCAAAGGGTTCAAGACAAACAGAACTGCGAGATGAGGATAGGGCAGGAGTATTGATGTTAATCTGGACTGGCCGGTGTTGTAACACGCCGAAGCTTATTTGTATAGACCCCTGAGATCATTCAACCGATCTTTAACACCTACAATCAATCACCTGATTCTATTGTACATGTTCAGTACCAGCCAGTACATCAATTCCTCATCCTGACATAAAATTATTAGCCAGCTTTCCCAGTATGTTATTCGAGGCATAATGTAATTTGGAATTATATTGGGTAACGGAATTGGCCCCTGCTTAAATGCCGATTGGTAGCTACGAATGTGGCTAGATCTCGGCTACTCTCGCTACGGCCTATCACAGCTTTCAGCATTTGTGCACGAACGCAACCACTCACAATTATTCGATTACACGCTGCTGCCCAAGAAAGGGGTGTTTCTGCGGAAATAGAGTGAAAGTGCCCCGCTCTCCAATAATTAGCCATATTATCGGCTGTTCAAGAGACTAAGCTTTTACCAACACCCGTACGAACAGTTCCTCGGGATCATTCGTTTCATCAAAAGCTGCGTCTGCGTGCCTGCAGTGTCTTCCTGTAAGTCTGGCTGCTAAATTAAATCCAGGTCTTTGGCCTTCTATTAACTTCTATAGCATCTGGCGCAAACAGAACTGGAAAGTCGCCGTCCATGAGCCTGAACTCAGAGCCCTTGGGTAGAGTAATACTTGCAGAGCTTTTGGAAACCTCTTTTCTCGAGGATTCTTTAAACCGGGTTGATCCAAATAAAGGTCGGTTATCACCCTTCGTGGATACAGAAGTTGGCCTGCAGAGTCTGGTTGAACAGCTTAGAGACTTACCTACCAACCCACCATCGGTATACCTTGATCTTGAAGGGGTCAATCTTTCATGAGATGGCAGCATTTCGATCCTGCAAATCTTTGTCCCTCCGCTCGATGAAACCTATTCGATTGACTTCACATTCTTAAGGAAAAGGCATTATTACTCTCGGTTTCTAACAGTGGAAAAGCTCTCTTGGATGTATTGGAATCGCCCCATATCCTCAAGTTTTTTTCGACGTTCGAAATGACCCCGATGCAATTTTCAGTCATTCTAATGTCAAACTGCCAGGGGTTGTTGATCTTCAATTGATGGAATTGGCAACCCGTGGTTTCTCACGGCAATACTTAGAAGGATTGACAAAATGCATTGAGAGAGATGCTACGATCACAGATCAAGAATTCTGAGGATGGAAGATATCAAAAGAGAAAGGGCTGAAGCTCTTCGGCTTAGAAGGTCGAGGAAATTATGATATCTTCAATGTCCGCCCGCTTCCAAAGGACATCCCAGAGTACTGTATGCAGGATTTTCACTTCTTGCCTAAGCTATGGTACCATTACCATAGGAAAATGGCCACTTCCTAGGAAAACAGGGTTACGACGGAGGCCACGAACAGAGTAATGCTCGCTCGAACAGCCACCTAAAGCTCTCCAAGCTTTTCGAGTTCATGCGCATTGATTTCATAGTTGTGTCTTTAGTAGTATCATGAAAAAATTGAGATATTATTGGATGTGTACTTATTGAAAGCGGTATACTCCTTTCAACAGCTTCGGCTAATTGGAATATGTTGGTGGTGATAATGGTTTATTCTACGCAAGGGCTCTCACGGCTGTCTCCCGCGAGGGATGGCAACTCCATTTTGATGATCACAGACCTTCATCGATGTAAATAAGCATCTAGCAATACGAATTTATCATTCTTCTTGAACACTTCCGCCTCTCCGTGGTTAACTCAGAAGGATCCTCCTACCAGTCTCCAAGTCGGTGATTTCCTTCTGCAGCTGTAGCCGTCTCCGCTTTGTGTTGCTATCCTCGCCGGCAATCTCCTCCAGAAACTTGTCCGAGAGTTGATTGACCCACGACGGCGAGAAAATTTTCATAGGAGCATCTGAACCGGTCACGAGGAGATGGTCTGCTCCTTGCATGCAAACATTGTCGACAAACCTTTTTCGAGCCACTTTGTAGCACGCCTCTAGAATGTCATGGAGGTCTTGAACAGTATGCTCAGCATTACTCATGTTGTCACGGTATGAGAGATCGCTGACTCGAAGGACTTCTCCGTGTGAGCAACTCTCCAGGGTCTTCCAAGCCAACGCGTCCTTGAATCTTTTTTGTCGGCACTTTTGGAGATTATCGTTGAGGTAATGGTTCAGAGTCATCGGCGTTCCCTTACGTTCGATTTTCAACAGAAAGTCAACATGTGAGATAGCCTGTCGATATTTGCCGGTTAGGTCATCCCACAAACGAGTGAGGATGTTGGTCGAGATCTTGATATCACGACAGGCAGCGAGGAGTACTTTTTTGATGAATCGATGGACTATGGCGATCACATCGCTGATGTATCCATGCGCTAGACTTGACCATTTCGCAGATTGCTTCTTCATCAATGCCGACAGCAAGGTATGGTTGAAGGTGCCTATTTCGAAGCCACGAGATTCACGATAGACTGTGTCCATCCATATGGAAATGCCACTTTTAGCTCGAGGAGGGTTGACAGCATCGTGCAGAATTTCCTGCACATCTTCATCCTCTTGAACCCTGCGGCTTAAAACGAAATTGACTCCATGCTGTTTGACTGGTTGAATTTCGTCGGTGGATTCCAAAGATGGATCTGCCGACTCTTCTGAACCTTCTGGTTCTGGTGCCTCGTCTGGATGGAATATATCGGTAAATGCGAATTCATGGCCCCATGTGGAAACGTGGTCCGAAAATTCCACGTTTCTGCTCGAGACCAGGGTTGCCAAACGAACATCCTGATCTTTATCAAAGATATCATCTAAACTGTAGTTTGCGGCTAGTGCTAGCTGTGTGATATTTTGAAAAGATGAAACAATGTCCAGAAGAGCCATGCGCTGCTGTTCTGGGGTATGTCGCTCAGTTCCAAGCGATTGAAGAGCTTCTCGTGCCGCATTGAGTCTCTTATTAATTTCGGAACGTACCTAGAGTCACAAGAGTCATTAAGAAGGTTTGAACAATCGTAAGGCCTCTTTAGTATCCTTACCGATGGAAATGTGCGGCGCACGTGTGATGTGTGGACCTCTTGAAGACGCTTTTTCAAAGCATTGATGCCGAAGATTTCAGCCCGCACGCGGTTCCAGGGAGGAGTTTGATGCCACCTTTCTTCCAGAACGTCTCGGTCGACATTCCCATCCTCAAGCTCCTGTTGTCCCAGGTTTCGAACAACAACCCACCCAAGCTGGTCACTCGTATTTTGGTCCTCAATCATATCTATTACTCTGTTTTGGGTTCCTTGATCGACGAGGTCGATCTTTGTCATAATAGGCAGAGTTCTTTCGCCTTTTGGATCGATTTCGCGAGCTATCTCGATAATTTCCTGCGTCGCAATGTCCACATTTGCTGGAACAACGGTCAACATGACAGAGCGTGGGTTCTTCATGTAATTATAAACCATGTCGCGGACGAGCGATTTATCATCTTTTGTGGTGACTCCATGGACCGTGGTTTTGAATATTCCGGGGACATCAATTACACTGAGATGATCCTCCTGAGGGCCACAAATCTCAAGCCGGAGAACACTGTTGGAGAACGTCGGCTTTCCAAAGGTTTCGATGAATTTCAAATCACAAAGATTCAGAAGTTGATGGACCTAGTCAAGTCAGGGTGCAGTCTTAGGAAGTAAGGGGAATTCAACATTTACCTCTCTCATCATCTGAGCAAACCCTTCTACGCTGAGAGCCTGCAGACCAGTAACCTTCCAATTCCTGAGTTTCTGTTCCTCATCGATATCGAGCCCCGGTGCTGGAATTATGGAAGCCGAGATCTCTCGACTAACAAAGTTGGCTTTTCGTTGGAAGATGATCTGCGTCGCGAAGCGAGTGCAGAGACCGCTGTTACGGGGGAAGCTCAACTTGGTCAAGCCTTCAAGGACAGAGCTCTTCCCACTTGACTGGTCGCCCACTACCACCAGCTGTGGAAGGTCAATGTATTCTCCAATATTGCAAGCAAACAGTCGATCAATTTTTTCAAGCAGGTCTGGTTCTGCCAAAGTAGTGCTTTCAACCTCCTTAATGACCATGATTGTTGTTGATAATTGGGAAGATGAAGAAATTCGAAAGAAGTAAAAAAAGACCGGAAATGCACGAAATTTGTGATCTAATCGAAGTGAAAGAGAATGTTCGGTTGAAAAGCTGTATTGCGCTGCAATTAAATAAAAGTGCAATAGTAAATATTTATACAAACAAGAGAGCCCCGATCAAGCAAGCTTGCAACCAAGAAATATTTTTGTGTATTATACTTCCACCGTCACCAAGTGGTCGAGGGATTCAAATAAGTCATGCCTGCATACCTGATCTAAGGGCTACGAAGGGAGGATATGTGCCGCAAGAAAAAGCGACTGTAAAAACAATGCACAGGGGGATGGGTTCTGTTTAAGGAAATCACGAGGAGGGAAGCGAAGGATTCATCCATGATAAAACGGGCAACAGCTGAATATATTTTGAAAGGTAGCTGCGAGTGATTAGCAGAGTTCGGAATGACGGTATGAAACGGGTGAACACATACCCTCCCGTGGCAGTACCGCACAGATTAGTCAAGGCGCAGAACGCTCCATAGACCAGATACAGAAAGCAGCAGCTTGCCATTCAACAGAGGACCAATCAATCTCTTGCGAGGGCAACTAAACTGCGGATTGTATTTCTAATGCCGAAAATATGCGAGATATTCTAAATACCTCATCTGCCCCAACCGACCTCCCAAGCAACAAGGACCTGTTCCATCCGTATCTGACGGCCTGTCAAGACTAGGTTGTGGATCGTGTCTCTACCCTTGCAAATCCTTTGAATTTCCTCTCCGGGCCACAGATAGAACCTCCTTGATCTACTATCCCGTGAGTCGTCGCTGGGATTTGCATCGTGAAACCGTACCTGCATCTGTCTAAATTCAGGCGTGGTGTTTGATAGGTCGTTGGGTGCTATTTGTGTCTAGGGTCCCATTAGTGTGATAGTAGAGTTGCAATCTCCCGAGGTGGGTGGCAATCACGATAACCTAGCCCGTGAGCCATGGTAGCTGAAATAACTCACTTCATTGTCCTGGAAACTTGACTCGGGTTTCTGTTTTGGGCTTTCCAACAAAGTCTAGACATTTAATTGTCCGTCAAGGAAAACAACCAGAACTCTGGATTTGGGAGTATGCTCATAGTGTCTGTACCGACCGGTATCAGAAGTATCAGTGGAGGCAACATCAGTTGGCCGCGAGCAACATAGAAAGGTACAGTTAGCGCGAGGCAAGGCAGGGTGGATTGTAGAGGGATCAATGGGAGGCACGTCCTATGGCCAACAGCCGGTACAATCGAATGTGACTGTCTGCCACAGTGTCCAACCCATCATTGCGGCATCTGTTGAGGCACTTCAACCCTCAAGAAAGAGACGGTGACCGTGGCTAGTGACCATGGTCAAAACGGGGAGAGTAGTCTGCCACCGCGTTGAGCGATTTAATTGCAGTTTCAATGATGTAAAAATCATACTCTTGCGGTATCACTGTCTTTCAACGTTTGGTGAAATGGTTAGCCACACTCAACGCAGGTTTTGAAAGGAATGAATCCAGATTGAAACTTGACTCTGTAGGCCACAAAGTCTCCAAAGACCATTGCAACGACGTTTAATTCGCTTCAACGCCTATCAATGAGACAGTGATTCTCGCTACCAACTGCGCAACTGGTTCCTTGGTCGAGACGCGACCAAAAAGATATAAAAGGAGCTGGATTCCCAGCCCAAAAAATCAGGACTTCGGTCCTCACGCTTGTCATGGTGTCCCTCTTGCTTACGGGCTTGAGCGTCTCAGTGGCCACGGCTGTCGCTGCCCCGAGCCCCGCGAGTGTAAAAAGGTGCTTCGCAGGACGAGCTCTGTGTCAACAAATGTGCTTCGTAGGGGATTGCTGCGTTAACAAAGCCTCTAGCGATGTGCAGGCACCTTTTCGCGGTGCTAGGGACCAGTATTCGAGTATTCAAGATTGCTCGAAGAAGCAAAGATCTGCGCAACATCTTGATAATGTATTTCGCATTTCGAAGGATCATCATTGGAAAAATAAAATGAGCCCTAGATAGAAGCAAACCAATATCAGAATCGTAAATTCAAGATTCAACCTTCGTTATCGCCCGCCGTATTCCCAACGCTCCTGTCTTCATGGTTTGCGGTCGGCTAGTGTTCCCGCCGCAATAGGATGCATCTCACATCAGGGCGTAGAGCCAACGAAATGGTGAGTATTTTGGTGCGTCGCAGATGTGTTGAAGGGCGTTGATGAGCGTTGATGAGGGTGTTGATGTGGTATACGGCCGGGCGGTGAAGTTGAGTGGTCAACGTCTCACGGCCTTCGCGCGAGCTCTTTCTTGCCATCTCACCCACATGACAGAGAAATCAGTTTCATTGTTTTTCCAATTTTGCGTTATTTCTTATTCCCTGGAGGTCACTCGGTGAAGCTTGCATACAGTCTGCAATTTGATTGACCTGGTGAATGCAAACACCGGATTTCCTTCGGTTCAGCTAAAACAGGCAATACACTAAAGATCAGGCCTACCAGGTGTAGAAGCATTTGATGAGAAGCACTCGAAACACAATTTGTTGTCTCAGCTCAATATAGTGATGCGATAGACTGTTCCTCGCGTAGTCAAATTTGCCGCTTCAGGCGGCTTGCAAGTCACCCACTCCTACTCTGCTGTAGAATCCCTACATCCACAACGGTCGCGAGTCAAAGTGGATTCGCAACAAAGACAACAAAGTAATTGAGGGCTTTGGCTCAAGAAAATCCAATCGGCTTCTTCTACAAATGGGAGCCGTCGCACGTTTTTCTGTAATCCCCGCCAGCAACTACGATTTAGATTGCGAGCCCATCTCCCGTGCAGCAGCCACACCGCACTCAAATTGGCGACCACTGCTTTTTGGGAATAATACCCGAGTTCATGCGATCGAGCATACTCTACTGTGTAGAGAACATGGTTGCAGCCCGATCCAGTCTAGCAAGCGCCATTTTGACCAGATCTGGTAAAGACGATTCCGCCAGCATTTACGACGGACTTGGATTGGAGCCGCAGCAGACATGCGCGTTACCAATAAAGCCGAACGCAATCATATGAATGCTGATCAGGGGTAGAAATCTTAGCATAGGCTGTTATAGATAGTCAGAGAGGTCGCACAGAGGATGGCTGCGTAAAATTGTGCAGAAACCCACCTTCACAAAGGATCAGCTCGAACGGTGATATGCCAAATGTCATCAAAGCGCAGTGCCTGCAAATAAGCCATGCTCAAGGACATTCGACGTAGAGTACGCACTGCTGACCTGCAGCTGCAGTGACCTCGAGTGTAAATCACCTTTGCACATGTTGCACATGTTGCTCTGACTTGGATAGAAAAAAAAACTGTGCCTAGGCATCAAAAATACCAATATCTCCAGACACCACAGGAGTCTGACAGTGCCTTCGATGCAGCGCCGTGTATGTCCGGTTGGTCTCTCCCGCTCGCTCGTTTCCATTTGTTGGTTCCACCCGCTGGAATACGTCGTCCGGCCAGCAACGCGGAGGATCAGGTGAAAATATCGGACAGCATCTCTTTGCTCGTGCTCTCTCGTTGACTCGGCTATGACTCGACACCCTACCGTCTCCTTTTATGAGTTCGTACCTGATATGGCCAATGTTCATCTGTAGGCTCAAAATAATGGGGTCCCACCCCACCTTCTCCTTACACGCAGACTTAGACTCACAGCATGCTCGTCGGCGAAAGTAGGACTCGTCCGCCATCAGTCAGACTGAAACATGAGCTCACCCCGGTGCCTGTCAAGCTGCCAGGCATCAAAAGACGTGAGATTCGAATCGAGAATAATCAGGATCACCCATTGGACATCAGGAATTTGATCCACAAGGAGGCTGTCCTTTCGCGGTGTTCGAATGCCGAGACACGGTGGCATAAGCCCATTGTGGCCTGAGCTTTGTATCGGGTAGACACATCAGCACATGACTAATGCACAGAGTCGACCGAGAGAAGGGCCGAGACGATCTGGACCTTACACTGGCTCATCATCGATCCCACCAGTAGTTATGTGGAAATGATAGACAGCATGCGATCGCATCGGTATAGGGCAGCTCGAGCAGACAAGACGGTTGCTCGCTTCGCATTCTACTCGAGTGACGGGAATATGAGGGACCTCCTGTTGTATGATCCGAGTCAGCAAGGCTTACCACTTGAACAAGTTGTTATGACTTACCTGTTCATAGAGTTTGCAGCATGTTCGCTTGAGACAAAGCGATCAATGAGCTTCATGGCCATATGAGCTTCCCAATAGGATAACTCACAATCCTCTTCAGCAAGGCAATGCAGCACCATTCATGCCATGTTGTATTTTGGTCCGTCGCACTCTCCGGCCGTTTCTTTTTAAAGGCCGGATTGTGGCGCAACGCGCATTCTCTCGGGCGGCATAGGCCGTGACAACCTCACACAGGCACAAGCAATCGTGGAGTGTTGGTGGATGGTATAAGGGCAATGCCGACGGTCATAGATTTCGCCATTCATAAAGTGAAGGCGGTGAGGGCGAAGACGCGATGGAGCACGCGTCGTACTGCCGCTCCCTGGTCTTATCTCCGATCCGTCGATAAGGACTACCCACAAGGAGATTTCACGGGTGGCGATGGGCTGCTCCTATGTACAATGGCATCAAAATCAGTGATGGTGTTCGTGTTTTGGAGCACACAAATTTGCACAAATATATGATATAGTGCCGGAGAGGACGCTATAATCACTCACATCATCAGAAAGAATGGACGTCTCAAGCTTCCATGCAGCGAGCCTCGCAATTGAATGTGCGTACCTGATATTGGCCCGTTCCCCTGGTTTGTTTTTCATCTGGGGTATGTTGCGAGGTTTCAACCGTCGGGTCCAAGGATTGTGTCTAGGCCATCGCTTTTTTATTTGGCACCAACGGGATGCTGTAGCGTCGGGGGCATCTGGTGCGATGTCAATGTTCCACTGTCATTCATTAGCCTGTCGATCGGCGAGAAAATCTATGACTCACATGTTCTGGTGGCCAACACTGGGGACGAAGGGACGGCAAAGAGTTGCGGTCCTTGCGCTCGTGCATTGTGGTCGAATGTCGGTTCTATTGGAATCGCATCGTCTTCGGGATCAGTAGAATTCCAGACAGGTCAGACTGAGATTCACATACTAGCGACGCGCATGTTCCCGCTTTTGCCTCGGGGATATACATAGGGGCTGTACAGTAGATTAGCTAGTTGGTTGGTTTGGCGGAGACTTCGTCGCACAGACACTTGGACCGGCCAGTGGAGATTTCAGTACCGGGTCAAGGGGGAGAACTTATCAAGTGACTCAGACACAAGCCCTGCTCGAGTTTGCAGAGTCGGGTTGATGAATTTTTAGAGCAAACTGCCGGGGGTAGAGGACGTATTTATAGACTTCTCGGGTCATCCTTTCGCCTACGTGCTACGTGCGCTGCTTGGTAGAACGCGTTGGCGGACACCTCCAAATTGAGGCCTGTTGAAAGCCACGTCTTCTTTCTACCGCAACTATGTGCAACGACATTTTTAATGCTTTAGATGCTCAGCGAGTGAGACAATTAAAGGTGGTGCTGGGAAAAGAATGTTGAGTCGGTCAAGAAACGTTGGCTCATCGCCGAATTCTTCGCGTCTTGCTAAAATTGAGGCACTGAGTGTTAGGCAATCCGCAATGACAGGCTCATATTTCGTGTTCTGATACCTCACCTGTGAGTGACTCAACGCTGAATCACCGAAAAGCGCCTACAACTTCAAACTCGAAATTATGGAATTTTTTCCTAGCCTCGCTTTAGCGTGGAATCTATCCGACCAGAATGCGGAAAGCGAGGTCATAGTAGGATGTGCCGACCCGTCAACCCGTTGAAGCTTAGCCCAATGTTGTCAACACTCAATTTTCGAACTTGTGACCATGAAAATACATCAATTAAAAAAACTGTTTTTTCTTCTATATTTCTTTGTTTAATGACAATAATTTCTACAATATTCCATTTGTCGGATTTCTGAGGCTTTCAACTAAAGGGAAAGGGGTGTCTGATTGAAATATGATCCTCAACAGGCGTTGATCTCTGGCCCTCAACATCGTGAGGCTTGATCAGTTTCCCCAACTGATATATCTCTTACTGAATACACTGTCAGCAGCTCGCTGAAATGTACACCGACTCCAGTCAGAATTTGACTCCTTCGATTGACCGTTGTGGTGATTGTAAACCCAGTCCATAAACATTTGCGTCCATATAGTCTATCAGAGGCACGAAGGCCTGATGGAAATGGTACTATCCACGGCCTTGAATTTCTCTTGCGGACAAAATGGACGTACAAAACAGCTCGCTAGACCAGGAAATGGGAGGAGACCAGCCGTCCAGTGAATTGCCACACCTTGACGAAAAAGACAACTCGCAGGAAACTTCTGATCACATCTCTCCATTGGTAAGTAAGACGATTCGTCTGCAAATGTTTTGGCTGACCATTGCAACCATCCCCTTTGCAGCAGGAAGCAGAAACCAGACACTAGCTGAAGAGAATTTTTCTGCGACCACCAGTCTATACAAGAGCTTGTCTACCATAGCATGGCGTAAGGTATATAAGAACCTACTTCTTGAGCATTAAGCCTATCTCTGCCCTGCCATTGAAACACAAGAGAGCCCGCACGTCTCTCGAACCAACATAATGGATATTCCTGCTTCCCCCTCTCATTCGGGACAGGCCAACAAAAGAAAGCGAGAGTCATCAGATTTTGATGAGAAGCCAGCTGGGACACCAGAAAGCCCCAAACAAGCTACTCGTTTCTCGAAACGAACGCCACCCAAGGGGGCAAAGGTGAGACCTCTCCGAGTCCCTGTTTGACCGACTCTGACCATAATACAGACATTTT